TTATGTGATATGGGTAGGCAATGCGATTTGACGTATTAGTTGTTTGTGTAAGATATTAATGGAGTGTGTAGAGTAATAATGGGCTGCGTGGGATACTAATGGGACATAATGGGATCTTAATGGTGCATGGGGTATTAATGAGATGTTTGGTAATATTAGAGTAAGGGATATTAATGGGGTACGGTTTGTTAATGGACTGTGTGAAAATAAATGTTGTGGAGTATTAATGAGCTGTGTTGTGTATTAATGGGTTGTGTGTGGTATCAATATTATATGTATTATTAATGGGGTGTGTTGTTTATTATTGGTGTGTTCTGGAGTTTGTGGAATATTATTGAGGTTTGTGCAGCATTAATGGGCTGATTTGCGTATTAAGAAGGTATGGTTTTTCAGTGCGGTGTAGGTATCAATGGGAAGTGAGTTATCAGTGGGATATTATTGGAGAGTGGAATTAATGGGTTGTATAGCATTAATGAGTTGTGTGGTATTAATGGGGTGTATACTATTAATGGAGAGTGTGTTATATTCTTGGATGTGGTGTATTAATGGCGTGTGAGGTATTAACGGAATTTGTGGTATAAATGTCGAATGTTGTATTAATGGGGTCTATAGTGCTAATGGGTTGATTGAGGTATTAACCTGGTGTGTGGGCCATTACTGGGGTGTGTGAGGAACTAATAGACTTCATGGGGTTTTAATGGTTTATGGAGTAATGGTTTATGGATTAATTGGGTGTGGGATATTAATGGGAAGTGGCGTGTTAATGGGGTATTCGGTTTAACAGAATTTTAATAATGGGCTGTGGGTTTTTAATGAAATGTGGAACATTAATGTTGTGTCGGATATCAATGGAGTTTGGGGTACTTATGTGTTTCGGGTTAGGTGATGAAGAGGTGTGTTGAATGGGTGTGTGGTATTAACGGGTTGTGAGGTATTAACGGGGCGTGGTGTGTTAATGTTTTGTGGGCTATTCATGAGAATTGGCGTATTAGTGGCGTATGGAGTCCAGTGGAGTTTTAATAATGGGCTCTGTGGTACTATTGGGACGCGTAATGTTAACAGAGTCTGCGGTATCAATGGGGTGAGTGTTACTAATTTTTGCATGTGCTAATAATGGGGTGTGTGGTACTAATATGATGCTTCGGATTTCAATACTTTTTGTGGGTTATTAATGGGATCTGTGTGTACTAATGGATTGTATGTGTTTCAATGTGGTGTATGGTGTTAATGTTATGGGGTATTTATCTGCTATATAGTGTTAATGCGGTTTGTTGTATGAATGGGATGTGTGCTATCAATGGAGTGTGTGTTATCAATTGGCTGTTTGGTTGTAATTTTTGTTTGTGGTAATAATGGGATGTGTGGTATTAATGTGTTGTTTGGGATTTTATTCGAGTATGCTGGTATTAATTGGATCTGTGTGTACTTTTGGGGTGTATGGGTATTAATGTGGTGTGTGATATCAATAGTGTATAGAATATTTATCTGCTGTAGGTGTTAACGCTGCGTGTGTTATTGATGGGATGTGTGGGTTTTTGCTGTGGTGTGTGGGGTATTCACGGTGTATATGGTGTAGCAATCAGTTTTGTGTGGTATTAATTCTTTGTGGAGTATTAATGGGGTGTGGGTTATTAATTATGCATGGAGTACTAATGTGGTATAGAGAATTAATGTGGTGCGTGTTAATAAAGTGCTGTAGGGTATTAGTGCTTTGTGGTATTAATGGGGTGTTTAGGATATTAATGTCTTGTGTAGGGTATTAGTGGGTTGTATGGGGTATTAATCGTGTTTGCGGTATAAAACGGGATGTGGGGCATTAATGGTGTGTGGTTTATTGACGGGATGTAGTGTATTACTGAGGTGTGTATGGTATTAGTGGAGTTTGTGGGGTATCAACGGGGTGTGTGATATTAATATGCTATTAATGGGGGGTGTGTTCTTAATGGAGTGTTTAGGATATTATTATTAATAGTAAAACTAATCCTTGCCTTTGAAGTAGCGCTTTTCACGTCTACTGGACTTCTCAAAGCGCTTCTCGAAATAGACTTTAAAGTGAGTTGACTGTATATTTGTGCTGAACATTGGCAGCCAATTGCGAATAGTGGTATCCGATAGATTCGTGGATTGAATTGACCAATTTATTATACGTTTTTTCTTTCTTGAGTGATTATTATCAGGCGGGTAGAGTAATTAATGGGTTGTTTGGGTTATCAAAGTTGTGTGGAGGTATTAATGGGGTGTATGGGGTATTAATATAGTTTGGGTTATTTATGGGCTATAGGGATTTAATGGACGTTGGGGTACTAATGGAGTGTGGGGTATGAATATGGTGTGTGGTATTGACAAAGTATGTGTAATTAATGGGTTATGTTGTACTAATTATGCGTGTGGTATTAACGGGCTATGTAACAATAATAATAATCCTTGAATTTGATATAACGCTTTTCACGTCTTCTAGACGTCTCAAAGCGCTTCACAGAATATGCTGTAAAGAGAATTGACCATATATTTGTGGACAATAAGCGGCAGCCAATTGTGCGCAGCAGTGTCCCACAGGCAGTCGTGTACTGAAAATGAACAATTTATTGTTGCTTTGTTTTGGAGGGATTATTATTAGGCGTGTGGTGTAAGTAAACTTGCTCAACGTTTCACCCTGACGCATGTGGTCCACATCCGCAGATATGAAGAGATATCAAGGAACCGTGTTGTAAGGAGGCACATGGTAACGGTGCCTGTCTTGACTTTACTTCCTGGCTAGGAAATGAAGTGAAGTACAACCATCTTTACTATGCTCTTACCTTATAAATCCAGTTTACAAATTTACTTATTCAGAATGTATTTATTTATTATTTAGAACTACAGCGCATGCCAAACACAGCACATATGCTGCTGCACCCCAAATTCTAGCCACGACAATTCAAAACCCAAAATCCAAACCTATTTGTGGTATGAATTGGGCGTGTGGGGCATTAATGGAATTTATGGGGGATTAGTTTGGTGTGGGTATTAATGGGGTTTTGGGTTCTAAAGGAGTTTGTGGTATTGAGGGGTGTGACGTGCTACTTGGGTGTAGTTTACTTATGGGTTGTGGTGTATTAATGGGCTGTTGGATATCAATGGAGTGTGCTGTAATAATGATGTGGGGTTATTTATGGAGTGTGGGGTATTAATGGTTTGTGGAGTATTAATGTGGTGCGTTTGGTATTAATGGTGTTTGTGCATATTAATGGGGTATGTGACGATGTTCTGAGGTGTGCCATATCAATGGGGTGTATTTTATTCATTGGTGTGTGATGGTAATGTTGTATGTGCTAATAATGTGGTGTGTGCTATTTATGGTATCTTTGGGATTGTTATGGGTTATGTGGGGTTTTAATGTGGTCTGTGAGGTGGGATATTTGGGGTATTAGTGTTGTGTGTGGTATCAATAGTTTATGGGGTATTAATGTTCTTTGTGGCAATAAGGGCATGTGTGTGATTAGTGGGTTGTGGGTAATAATGCTGTGTGTGTTTTAATAATGGGGCGTAGGTTACTAATCGGATCTGTGGTAATAATGAGTTTTGAGGTATCAATATTTTATGGAGTATTTATCTGTTTGATATGAATAAATGTTGTGGTATTAGTGGTGTGCAAGTTATTAATGTGGTGTGTGATGCACTAATGGAGTGTTCGATGTTAATGGACTTGTGGGTTATTAATGGGGTGTATTAGGTATTATTGGTGTGTGGGGTGTTAATGGTGTGTAGCGGTGTTACTGGTGTGTGGGATAACAGTGAGGTGTGTGCTACTAATGGGGATTGGGTACTGATGTAGTGTGCGGGTATTAATGGGGTGTCGTTACTAAAGGTGTGTGTGGGGTTTAGGTGGGTTCCGTGTCGTATTAATGGGATATATGGGGTATTAATGTGATATAAATGGGGTGTGGGCTACTAGTGTTGTGTGGCATTAGTGAAGTGTGTGGTGCTAATAACTGTGAGGTATAAATGGGTTTGTGTTATAAATAGAGTATGTGGCATGAATAGGTTGTGTTATGTTAAGAGGATTTATGGTACTAAAGGAGTGTGCAGTATTATTGAAGTGTGTTGGGTATCAATGGGTGTGTCGGGTGTTAATGGGCTCTGTGTTATTATTATAGTGGTGTGGCAATTAATTGCGTGTGTGGGGTTCTAATGGGGTGTCGGTTATTAATGGGGCGTTCGCTATTAATGGTTTATGGTGTATCAATGACGTTTTGGAATAAGAATGGTGTTTCGGTTGCAGATGGGATGTGTCCAGTGTCTTTCGACGTCCTCCCGACGTGAAAGGCGCGACATCAGTGTAATCTTTTTGTTGTTGGTGCTATTAATGAGTTGTGGGTTGTTAATGAGACGTCGGGGATTAATGGGATGTGTGGTATTAATGTGCATTTTTGACAATAATGGTGTGTGAAGTGTTTGGTGGGGTGTTTGGGGATATTAATGGGGAGTGTGGGATATTAATGGTGAGCATTATGTACTAATGGAGTGTTGTATTAATGGGGTAAGTTGTATCAATGGCTTGTGTGGTATTAATGAAAGGTGTGTAGCAGGGGTTTAACTTGGAGTTGGTGATGTAATATTTGGATGTGCAGTGTACCAATGAGGTGTATGAGGTATTAATTGGATGTGGGGTATTAATGTCGTGAGGGGTATTGATGCTGTGTTATGTGTTAAAGGTGTGTGGCATTACAGAGGCGTGGCATATTAGTGGGGTGTGGCAGTTATTAATGCGGTATGTAGGTACTAATGTACTGTAGCTTATCAATGGGGTTTGGCGTATTCGTTGGTTGTTAGGGTTATTACTGGAGTGTGTGGGGTACTAAAGTGCTGCATGGTGTTGTATTAATCACACTCACCCATTCATACACTCTCACAGACTCTCAGAGACATCCCCAAACTCTCACAATCACACACACAAACTCACACATATTCTGACGCCCACAATCACACACTCTCTCAATTTCTCGTTCACTCCCACTGACCTGAGCCCCCTATCAGCCCCAGTTGTCTTACAGCTCGGGGCCACGATCTCTCCGGGCGGTCCTCGGCCATGTTTGAGGTTTTCCTCCTTCAAGCCTTACTCCGTCCCCGCCCACTCGCTCCTCATTGGTTCATTCCCAACATCCGCCGCCTCAGCCAGAGCTTTCCATAGGTCTGTCTAATTGTCCAGCGGATACCGTGCTCTGATAGGTCCATGTGTAAGTCAATCATCTCTAATCCTCCACGCCATCCGCTTCCTGGTCAACCGTGATTATGTCACCGCCCATTCGCACCCCATTGGACAATTCCAACACCCGCCCCACTGTCAGGTCTTCCCATTGGTCTGTCTGTACATTAATCAGTAGTCGCGCTTTGATGGGTCCAGGTCGACGTCAATCATCTCCTCTCCTTCCTGCCTCACGCTCTCTCCAACCGTCAAACTTTCCCCGCCCACTCGCTTTCTATTGGTCCATTCAGTCACCCGCCCGCCAAAACCAGAGCTTATGATTGGTCAGTTGAGTTGGCAATCATACTGCGTTCTCTGATCTTCCCGTCTCCAAAAATCACTTCCCCTGCTTCCTGCCCCGCGCTCTTTCTCCAACCGCCACTCTCTCCCCGCCAACTCGCTGCCTGTTGGCTCTTTCCAAAACTGCCCAGCTTCGGAATGGTCAGCCCTGCTGTCAGTCTGCTGCCCTCCCAGTCATTCCTGTTTCGCCACTTCTCCCCCAGCCTTTGTTTACCTTCTGTCAGTAGGCACCCGCCTGGCAGTCAATTGGCATCACTTTTCCGAGGGTAATAGACCTTGCAATTGTTTGTAAAAATCTTAATAATTCGATGCTCTTAAGCTACGGCTGTACATATACGGACTTCGCCTTACATTGTATCCAGCACTGGGACGTCTCGAAGGCGTGATGAGGCGCTGTATAAAATGCCCATTATTATTATTGTGATTATTATAATTATTATACAACGTCACCGCAAACGACACCACGTATGTGACGTAGGGAGACAGGCAGACTGCATACGCGGTGTCGTCTGCAAGTCTACCCGCCTCAGTGTGCGTGTGTGTGTGTATGTGTTTGACTATCTGCGCTTCACTGCTCCCCAATTAGATCCGCCACATTGAACGGCACAGCTTCCCCGCTTTGTGTGAGTCTCTCTCGGGTCGACTCTCTGTGCTGCCCCTCACGTAACGTATGCACGTATCTCTTTCTCTGGCTCTCACCCACCTAACGTAACAACTGCTCCTTGGCTTGACAGCGTATGACACGCCAACTTTCTCCCTGGTAACTGGTGATTGACAGGAAAGAGACACGCCCACAGTCTCTCGGGTAACTGTTGATTGACAGGAAAGTGAGGCACGCCCACTGTCTCCCTGGTAACTGGTGATTGACAGGAAAGAGTGACAAGCCCACAGACTCTCTGGTAAATGTTGATTGACAGGAAAGAGAGACACACCCACAGTCTCTCTGCTAACTGTTGATTGACAGGAAAGTGAATCACGCCCACTGTCTCCCTGGTAACAGTTGATTGACAGGAAAGTGAGACACGCCCACTCTTTTACTGGTAACGAGTGATTGACGTGAGACACACCAACTGATATTATGATTAATGTTGTTATTATTCCCCCGACTCGGAGTTGGTGTCCGTCACTATTACGCACTGATACGGTGCCCAGTGTGGAGCGAGGGCGATGTATTCGTTGCTATTCTTCTTCTTATAATTCTTATTATATTAATTTGGTTATTGTTATGCATAAATAAATAAAACAAGTGGCGTTTTTAAAGCGCACTCCACATTGGGCAACCTTCCAGGTCTTTACAAAGGAGGAACCTGATGTTGTATAGTACAAACAACACAATGTACAATATACAACCATAATAAATACGAACCAAATATTTATATCATCTGCTAAATAATACAGTTTCAAAAAAAATCTGTACCCCCAGTGAATTCCTGAATCAATACGATTTGTTTTTAAAATAATAATAATAATCCTTGAATTTGATATAGCGCTCGTGAAAACACACAGTCAATTAATTTACAGTACAACACGTGAAGCACATTGAGACTTCTAAAAGACATGATAAGGCGCCAAATCCAAAGCAAAGATTACTGTTATTGTTAAAGAGCAAATTGGAAGCTTAATGCGGGTTTCTATCAAGAGAAATGTAGAGACAACATCCCGATACAGTTTTCTGCTGTTCAGTTGAGATGTTTTTCTCGCTTTTACAGTTAAATATTTGAGCCCTTTTCGCATGAGATGTTTGTGTGGTTTGTGCTTTATATCCGGTAATGCTGTTGAGTTGACAACTTGACAGAGTTCAGCTACATATCACCCATTACCGTTTCATACTATGTACAATATTGAGCTAATCTGGACTCCAATACCAGGAGAAAATCCCTTCTTTTTCCCAAATAGCATCACTGGATCTTTAAGGTCTGTCCTGAACACGGTACAAACTGGACCTGAGTTTATCGCAGCGTCTTAGATCACATCGAGAAAGAGAGAGAAAGAGAGACTAAGAATGTGAGAGAAAATGGACGTAAGAGAGAAAGATAATGTAAGAGATACAGAGAGAGAGAGAGAGAAAGAGAGAGAGAGCTTCAGAGAGACAAAAGGTGAGCGAGACATTTGAGAGTGTGAGAGAGAGATGCAGAATGTGAGAGAAGCTTCTCAGCTAACATCATGAAAGTGGTTCAGCTACGCATCAGCTTTTGCCATTTGAAAGCATGTTCATTATTAACCCTTTCGTACAACTTAAATTTAGCTGCTCTGGAATATAACAATTGGAGAAATTCCCTTCTCACTTCCTGATAACGTCTCGGCTTCTTAACATTTTTCTTCAACACAACACAAATAAAGGTCAATTGTACCTCTCATTTTAAAGCCCATGATAAGCAGACGATAAGTTTGAGTGAGAGCGAGTGCGACTAAATTTGCGAGAGGCTTACCGTGTGAGAGACGCATAGGGGGAGATTGAGAGTGGTAGTGTCAGAGATACAGAGGGAGAGGGAGATTGGGAGAGTGACAGAGAGGCACATTGTATTTGACAGAGAAATTGAGAGACACAGGTGGAGAGAGACTGAGAGTGTGAGAGATAAGGTGTGTGTGTGTGATACAGACTTTGAGAGAAACATATGGAGGGAGACTGAGAGTGTCAGAGACACATATGGAAATAGACAGACTGAGAGTTTGAGCGACACACTGCTTCAGATTGTGAGAGAGTGTGTGAGAGTCAAGTGTTTGTGTGTGAGAGAGACTGGAAGTGTGAGCAATGCTACCATCAAATTTCAAATGAATTACACTAATTTGCACAAAAAACTAATCTTCCGATGTGAAAGCGCGACACAAATGTAATTTTTTAATATTTTATTAAACTTGCACATTGAACAATAGCAATATTAGCTCCAACTGCGGTCACCCGATGTTTTGCAGGCTGGAGAGCAGCTTCCTTATCTGATTGTAATGTTTTAAAAGCAGACAAGGCAGCAGGTCTGTGGAACTCTCAATTAATCGAATAATGTGTATTGTGTTGCTGGCGAGACGAGAAAGAAGGTCAACGGAATCTTCCAGTCGGCAGTGAGTGTTTCGGCTGCTGTGAATGTGATGTGTGGATTGGGACAGGTAATGTGGCAAAGGTGGAAAAAAGTGGTCTGATTAGCAATGAATGCGGGAAAGAAAACAATGCTGATGTTGACCCGTTTTCCAAATTTTTCTGATCAAGATTGTGCGTTTGATGTGCTACCTTTTAATTTTCTGGCATAAGCACACTTTCATTCCAAAAAACATCGTGTATGAAATATAGAATATTTCTCTGAAACTTCTCGATGAAGTCTTGAAGCAAATGCAATGGTTACCACTGTTGCTAAAAAGCAGATTTGAGATTCTAAGTGTGTTTGCTGTCCAAAGACATATAGAGAAAAAATTCCGCTGAAGAAATTCTGTATTTCTGTTTAGTCACTTTCCCTTTTGCATTTGAATGTTTGAGCACTTTTTGAAGGACGTTTTGTGCGGTTTGTGCTTGATATCCGTTATCTCTGCTAAGCTAACACCATGACAGAGGTTCAGCTATACATCAGCTTTTTCCATTTGACAACATGTCCAATAGTATCCATTTCATGCAGCTTGAATTGAGCTGCTCTGGATATTAAAACGCGGAGCAACTCTCTTATCTTTACGCTCTATGTTTGCAGGATTTTGCTCTGAAACACAGACCAACTCTCTTATGCTCTGTGGCACAGTTGTAGATTCTCTCCGTTTTAAAACTGGTCAAAAACGGGCAGCTGAGATTTGTTTCATTTACATTTTGGGTGTGTTAGAGCTGGAGAGACCAGCGAGCAGGATTTAGTCCAGCCGGTAATTTATGAAGGCATGCATGAGCATTTTGGCTGCTGTGGATATGAGGAATGGATTGGGGCGATCAATATGTTGGAAGTGGAAAAAAACTGTTTTTGCTCAGGGAATGTTCGTGGTGTAGAAAGGAAAGAGTTGCTCATTTGTTGTGCTTATTCTACTGATTAAAATGTTGCCTTTCAAGTGCCACCTTCTCATTCTCTGGCGCAAATGAACTTTGATTCTGAATAACGTTTTGTCTGAAATATTGAATATGTCTCTGAAATGTCTCGACGACGTGAAGAGGCGTTACATGAAATGCACATAATATTATTGCTATTATTATTGTTATTATTATTCAAACGCATTATTGAGATTTCAATCGAGTTTACTGTCCGGAGAAGTTTCGAGTCAAAACTCCGTTAAAAAAAATCTGCTGCTCTGTTTAGTTGTATTTTCAATTTGCAATTAAACATTTTAGCACTTTTTGTTGTGTGGTTGTGCTTTATGTCCGGTAAAGATGCTAAGCCAATACCACGAAAGTGTTTCAGCCACACACCAGCCTTTGTTATTTGACACTATTTCCAATATTAACACTTCCTTACACATTAAGTTGAGCTCGTCTGGAACCTAACATCTGGAGAAATACACTTCGATTTCCCAATGGCATCTCCATACCTTTACTATTTGTCTTCGATACAGCACAAACTGAACCTCAATTTATCTTCTAATCTAAGAGTCTAAAATAGAGAGTCGGAGAGAGAGAGAGAGAGAGACTAAGATTCTGAGGCACAAAATTTGAAAGATAGACTGGTAGTGTGAAAGACACATAGAGATAGAGAGAGAGATAGTGTGAGAGATACAGAGAGTGAGTGAGATTGGGAGGTAGAGAAAGAAATTGTGAGAGGAAATGTGAGAGATGTGTGTGTCAGTAAATTTGAACGAAACAGATGGAGGGAGATTGAGAGTGTGGACATAGAGGGACTGACAATGTGAGCTGCACAGTGTTTCAGAGTGTGAGAGACTGCGTGAGATACACAATTGTGTGTGAGAGAGACAGAATGTGAGCAATGTGACCATAAGATTTCACATGAATTACATTAATTTGCACAAAAAGCTGAACTCCCTAAGTGAAAGGAGCCACGCGAATGTAATTTGTAATATATTGTATTAAACTTGCAGCTTGAAAGACAGAAATATAGGCTTCCTAAGCGGTCAACGGAGGTGTTACATAGTGGAGACTGGATTCCTTATCTGATAGTAATGGTCTCAAATGCCGTCAATACAGCAGGGCTGAGGACTCTCAATTAAGCGAATATTGCGTATTATGGAGCTGTGGGGACGAGCTATGGGGGCACATTTGAGATATCAGACGAGTTTACTGTCCAGAAAAATACAGATACAAAACACAGC